CAATCATAGTAACGAATGCCTCGTCAACACTTATAGTTTTCATGATGCTTAATGATTCTTGCTTGTATCTCTATTATGCAATTCATGTAGGGAACTTGTGAGGAATGCTTTGGGTTGTCGTATGCAATCATCCAATTCATTAACTTAAGGAAAACTTGACGGTTAATTAAAGCGGACCTAATTAACCCGGGGTGATGAGTTTCATAATTCATTGAAATGCAATTAGAAATCTTTTTATTATGCAAGTGTAACATGTGTGGAGATGAACCCCTTGGCTAGCATCCATTCATTCATTTTCGTCAAATTCGTATTTACAATTTGTTTTCTTTACATTCTATCCATTTTAGTTTAAATTCGTCCAAACCTCAATCCCCCCCATATTTGTTTAGTCTTAGTCTTAATCTATCTTATTTTGTGTTTTTATGTATTTTGAGTCTTTTGGTTTGTTTTGGTGTTTTAAAGTTTAGTTTTGCATTCTTCAAGTTTAGTTTAGTGTTTTAAACTTGTTTTTACGTTTTTGAGTCAAATCCAAGTGATTAACAATCCCTCCTAATCCCCGGTCCAGAACGATCCCTACTTATACTTATACTACAATTGACAAAAAGAGGGTTTAATTTGTGCGCGTATAAAACTCGCATCAATTGTTTTGTATACATGTAAGTATTGTAGCCAAATCCATTCGCCGCCAAAACAAAAAACAAATCATTTTCCAAAAATTCAAGCTCATTAAATACTTCGGAGCCAAACAAACACGAATCCAGCGATTCGACCTCCGCAACGCTGCCACTGACTATAACCTCCTTCCCGCCCTAAAATTTCATGAATAATCACTACTTCAACAAACAATACGGAAAGTAAAATAACAACAATAATCTCCAGAATAATTACGACATGAATAATCACTACTTCAGAAGCTAAAATAGGAAATAAAATTCAATTAAAAATAAGCAAAATTAGGAAATTGTTTTTACACCTGATCCTTCTGGTCCTCGGAAGCAGAAATCGAAGCAGCTACAGAGGCACCGGCAGAGCGAACAGTAGAAGCGACGGTGCTCGCATTCGTCGACACAGTTTTAAGGCACGACGAAATAATCCTAAGCGAGTTCGGCAACAAGCCATTGTTCTTCCCCTTACTCTTCTTCATCCTCCACCGCCACCGCCTTCACCTAGCACTTTGTATCTTCCTTCAGCCTCCACCTCCGATGAGCATCTCCGATCGCTGGCGATCGGATTATATAGCATCCGCTAATTACAGTTGATGATTATGATTAGGAAGATCTTTGACTTCAACTGCAACAACAACAAGGCTCCTCAACAAGGCGTGTGGTCTCGTCGTGCTTCGCTAAGTTCTCTCTCTATATATATATAGATATAATTATATATATAGGATCAGACACTCCTTTTTTTTATTTCTTTTTTTTTTTTCTCTTGCGCTTTCAGTTTTCTATTTCTTTTTCATTCTCATCATCATATCTTTCTCTTGTTTCTCTCTCTTCTGCGGGCGCTGGGTGTTTGGTTTTGGTGTTGGTGGTTATGTCTCGCTTCTACAACGGAAATGAAATACAATAAACAGACATGATTTAAGGATTTTTAGGATCTTCATAAAGAGATTCCGGAGATGATTCTTATTCTCAAGTAACAGTCTATGTGAGTCAGTAAAAGTAATTTTTCACTGTGTAAATTTTGGTTATTTCTTGTTTGAATTTGGTTATTGATTAAGAGTTAAAAGCTTTTTGTTAGATAGTTATCAATTAAGAGTTAAACACGTTTTGTAAGATAGTTGGGCATAGGCCTAGCAAACTGATTGTGTTTATTATGTTCGTGTCGTTTTCGTGTAACATCTGTTATCTTAAAGAATCGTATCGTGTTACACCCGTTATCTTAACGGGTCCTTAACAGGTCGGGTCATTTGGCCCGACCCGTTACGACCCGTTAAGAAAAATATATTTGTTTTTCTTAAATTTGCATATACCACACATTGCCACATAAAAATTACTTTAAAACATTAAAACACATTTGTTGTTTAAGTACTACATCTACACTCGAAAATAAGAGCCTAATAAACAAACATTCATGCGCTACTAGTCTATTACAAAATATTAAATGTGCAAGGATATGCAAAATGAAAGAATTTTTGTTTTCAAGGTTGTGGAACCTTTCTCAAAAGTTGAAACCTTGCCACTGGAACTTCAAATTTGCATGTTATTCCTTTTACAAAATCCTCAATTTTCATAGATCATCATGACATAAGATTTTATGGTATCCACTAGTGTAAATATTTTAAATTGAACATCGAATTCATTCATTGTATTCATATAGGATCAAGGAGTGTAGTTGTAAAAAATCATCAAAATCGGAGTTAAAATAACCGTTAAATCGTGATCTTTCGTTGATAACCGTCAAAAAGTTTTGTCTCGTTACCTGATCTCTGAATGTTTGTTTTTTTGCGATTTTTGGCATATACGATCTTGAAGCATATACAAATAAGTTTGATGGTTGGATCGTTGAAATTAGTTTTGTAGAATGTGCATCCCATCAAAATGATAGATTCACTAACACTTGAGTTTATTTATATTGTCATTAAGTATAACATAAGATTTTGTGGTATCCATTAGTGTAAATATTTTAAATTGAAGATCGAGTTTATTCATTGTATTCATATAGGGTCAAGGAGTGTAGCTGTAAAAATTCATCAAAATCGGAGTTAAAATAACTGTTAAATAGTGATTTTTTGTTTATAACCGTCGACATTTTTTGTCCCGTTACTTGATCTTTGAATCTTTGATTTTTGTGATTTTTAGCATATGCGATCTCGAAGCATATACAAACAAGTTTGATGGTTGGATCATTGAAATTAGTTTCGTAGAATGTGTATCCCATCAAAACGATAGATTCACTAACACTAAAGAGTTTATTCATACTTTCATTAGGTATAACATAAGATTTTGTGGTATCCACTAATGTAAATATTTTAAATTGAAAATCGAGTTCATTCATTGTATTCATATAGGATCAAGGAGTGTAGCTGTAAAAAAAAATCAAAATCGAAGTTAAAATAATCGTTAAAATCGTGATTTTTCGTTGATAACAGTCGAAAAATTTTGTCCCATTACTTGATCTCTGAATGTTTTTTTTTTGCAATTTTTTGCTGATGTGATATCGAAGTATATACAAACAAGTAGATTTAAATTTATTTATTTTGTACATATAGCACTTAAGAAATTGAATGGTATGTATATTGAAGCTGATCCAATGATCACCAATTTTTAATATTTAATTTAATATACATATTATAGTTTTTAGGGGTATAAAATTGTTAAATTAATATATATAATTATTATAGTATTTTTTTAGGATTATAAAATTATAAAATTAATATTTTGCTCATCGTGTATCGTGTTATCCACGCTTATACCCGAACCAATCCGTTATCTTAACAAGTGCTTATCGGGTTACCCGATAACGACTCGATTTATTATCGTGTTGATCCGAACACCTATTAATTTTGTATCGTATCGTGTCGGGTTATCAAATCGTGTCAGGAATTACCCAGCCTAGTTGGGCACAATCATGTACCATGAGAATTTCTCGTCTTGAGAGATTTTTTAATGTATTGGAAACACGAAACGGTATATCAAATGTAATAATACACTTCATGGGAATATAGAAAAAACAAAATTCAACCAATTGTATTATAACATTTCATGTGCTTAATTATTCTTAATATACTTAATCTACGATGAACAAACATGATTTATAAATTTTCAAAACATTCGCAAAGAGAATTAAGCCAGAATCCGGTCTCGAAAGGGAGGAACGTTAGCGTCGGAGTAACTTAGGGAGTTGGAAAAGCTGACGACTTTGGTTGGGTGAAATACGCCATCCGGCGTTGGGTTACGTGCCGGGTTCACAACAAAACTTGCCGATAGGCCCCGATACCACCTATGGCTACGCGCGCTGCGCCGAGCCACTGCATACCCCGGCCTAGCCTAGCCTAGCAATGTTTTAATTTGACTGAACAACTTTCTACCGTCATTTAATGAAATTCCAATCTTGTCCGGCAATTTAATGGAATTTCAATCTTGTCCGGCTCCGTGTCCAGAGCCAGTGTAGCTCTCATTAGTTTATTTGTTGGCCCACCTTATATAAAACAAAACCTTTAAACGAGCCGGATCTCTTTTTTTCTAGTGACTGATCAGGATTGTATGATCTATTAACTCTAGATACAGAGATTTAGAAAGGGTCTGAATTCATTAATGAGTTTATTCATGTTTCCAATATAAGTGCTATAATTTGTTGTACGCACACTTCTAAACTCATATGACTGTTGATGCATATGAGGCACCAACATAAGTCTGGATCTTCGAATGTTCTCTTTTATAAAGATTTGGGAGATTCTTTAATCATATCTGATCATTTTATCATGTATTGTTTATATTCAGTTTTAAATATAAAAATTTACAATGATTTTTTATCGCACAATATATGATGAACGGAAGTGATTGAAAGATCCCTAATATCTTCGCAAAGAGAGAGAATCCGACTGGCACGAACATGGGATGATTTTGCCGTCAATGCATGGATCAACTCAATCGAACATGCAGATTTGGCCGTTGATAGCCCACCAGAAACCTTTTGCTAGATCAAAACATTCAGCTTCATCGGACAAACCACATCTACATGCGTGAGTTGATCTCAATCTTTTTATGCATGGATTAACTTACAAGATACAACTCTAGAATTGCTAAATTAGTAAGAAATGTCAGTCTAACTAAGACAGCTCTCACATCATGTACACCATGTACAACGTTGATTAGAAATACATATAATCGCATAATTTTATAGGAAGTGTCGTAAAAATGACGTGATCAGATAACCAAAATTTTTCTATATCGATTGACCATAGCCCTCTAAATTTCTAATTATGGTTTAGTTGTTGATAAACATGTCACATGTGGTAAGTCAATATCTTGGCAAAAACAAAAATACAACCCATAATGTGGTAGGAAAACATAATGCTCTATCATTACTTAACTTACTAAACATTCTTTTCTTTGATTGTGATTTGTATTGGATTCTATCATGTACATGGTGGGTTGGATAAAACACATTTGTCACTCTTTCCTTTTCGTCTTTTAAGTCTTATATGTACACATTACATACTTTGAGAATCGTATTCATTAATTTCCTTCTTTGGACTGGTTGGACCATACCACAAAACTCCTATAGTTTCCATTTCAATTACTCTAAGTTTCCGTGTCCCGTTACTTTGCCGGCTTCCACAGTTCGAGAGCCTGCCCGAATGGTTGTGCTACAGTCTTCTGTGTCGATGAGCTCTTCGCGCAATGCCTTCCGGAAAATTGGCATCGATAAGCTTTTCTTCACGGACTTCAGGCAGCCAAGATCTCCACTCAAAAGTTGTACCACCTATAACCACAAGTGGAAATGTAGAATCATATGGATTCAATTAGATCAATGCAAGTTTATGGTGGAAGTGCTTATTTAATAACCCATGTGCTTCATGGAAAAGTACTTGGAAGTGCTTTTTCAAGAAGCGTTTGGATGTGTTCTCTAGAAAGCGTTTCTATGACCTAGAAGCACTTTATCCCTTCTAGAAGCAAATCCAACTGGACCATAACTTAAGAAAAATGAAACAAACAAGCAAATCGAGCATACCTCACTCATACTTGGCCGGCGTATCGAGGACTTGTGTATGCATAAAGAAGCAGCCAACAGTACAAGATTCACCTGGCGACGGTTGTACTCATCAGCTAGAGAAGGATCAACTAAGTCTTTAATTGCATTCTTCTTCAGCAAAGGCCGTGCCTGTTAAAGTACAGAAATAAACTCTGTGTTATGAATATTGTTCGACGTATTTGAGCAAAATTAAACAAACGAAGATATACAGCATATGCTTATGGAATTCAAGTGGGAAAGAAAAGTAGATAACTCACCCACATAACAAGGCTTTGCTGCGAGTAATCTAGAGCTCGTCGTCCAGTGACTAGTTCCAAGAGCACCACACCATACGCAAACACATCTGTTTTCTCATCTACTATGCCGTGCAGTAGGAACTCGGGCGCAAGATAGCTGCGAATTGCGGGAAAAATATATAAGATCAAAACAAGCTAAAATCTTGGCTGGATAACAGAAGATTGAAGCAATTATAAGATTACATACCCAAATGTGCCCTCACAATTTGATGTAATGTGGTGAGTCCATTTCTCCGGTAGCCATTTTGCAAGACCAAAGTCACAAATCTGTATGAAAGTCATCCAGATCAGTCGCCGTATTCATAGAACTTAAGAAATCGAAGCAAGAGTACAACAGAAGAAAGAAATTCAAGCTACAAAACATAAAGTTCAAAAGAGCATACCTTGGCCTCAAAATCGTCGGTGAGCAAAATGTTTGCAGCCTTAATATCTCTGTGGATAATTCTCCTTTGACAACCCTCATGAAGATAGTGCAAACCCTTAGCTGCACCTATTGCAATTTTATACCGGATGCCCCAATCGAGCTTCTGTTCCTCGGAACCTATAAAAATAAATCAGTACACAGATATTACTTTTATTTACAAGACGACGTCCATTATAAACTACTCTAATATGCGACGAAGGGGACACAAAAACTGTGGTTTTACTTTCTGTTAAATTAAAATAGCAGCATGATGGGGATCAAAAACTGTAGACTGACCATAAAGCGCAGAAGCCAAGCTTCCTTTTGTAGACAACTCAAGAACTAAATGCATCCCTCCTTCAACACCATACCCAATCAGCCTGGCAGTATTGGGATGTTTCACATGAGCCATGACACCGATCTCCGCTAAGAAGTCCCCGGTGATCTCCTCCTGTCCCCGGGTTAGCCGTTTGATTGCCACAAGTTGCCCATTTGACAGACAGCCCTTGAAGACTTCAGCATAACCCCCCTTTCCAATCAGATTTTCTGTATCAAAACACAAGCAAAACAATTATCACAACGCATTCATAAAGCGAAATTTGCTGAACAATCTTTCCGAAATGGGAATGCTGACAAAGGAAAAAATTGTAACAAGTCTACTAACCGTGGCTAAAAGATTTGGTTGCGGCCTGTAGCTCATACAGGGAGAAGTTCTTCCACGGTGACTTGAAAGGGTACATCAATTCAGCATCGTCTGCCTGAAATTTCGGCCCGATAATCTCCCTCATGCTGCTGCTCATTCTCTTAGAGAATTTCCGCAGCGGATGCACTGTCGTGGCTAAAGGGTTTTTGGACTTAGTTGTCAACAATTTAACAAGTCCACGCCACCTAGAACTCTGTTTCGAATTCTGCTGAGTTTCTGAGTCCGGCGTGGGCTCTTTCTCGGAGCTCGTTTCGGAATCCGAGCTCCGAAAATAGTCCTCAAGAACTCCCTTGGGAGAGTAACTCTCAGCCTTCTCCTTCATTATGTTCAAAGATCAGAACTCGCCAAAAGTCCAAATCTTTCAATTCATCCAACTGTTTACGTGCTCCTCTGCATCAAAAGAGACACAAAAATTAGATGAAAATTCAGAAGAAATTAGAAGGGTTGATAAAAAATGTCATAAAGTTCAAAACTTTAGAACAAAAAGTGTGGGAATCCATAAAGTCCAGAGAAAATAATTAAGACCCAATTAAGATAAACAAAAAACTGAAGAATCTCAAGAGGCAGAAGAATTCACAGAGCTCTCTGTCTTGACATGCAATTACTCACTGAGGCAAATCCACAAGCACAAAGTGTGCAAACACAGAAACACACAAAACTAACAGAAAAAAAAAAATGAGAAACTTTGAGCATACCAACATGGCGGCTGAGCAGTGAAGGTTCTGTTAAATTTCTGTTATACTCCCCATAGAAAAATTGAATAATTAAACAGAGAGATGAAGAGAGAGGAGAGAGAGAGAGAATGTTCAGAGATTTGGAAGATGAGCAAGAAGAAGAAGGAAAACAAGTGGACTTGGATTCTGATTTACTCTTACCGCTTCAACGAATGGCTCTCTTTTCAAGGTTTCCCGGGAAACTATTCACAAATTATTTTCTTTCAAATTTTTATAAAAATTAATTATTGATAATTAAAAATTATAAGAATTATGTCAGAGACGTATCTTTTTCAATCATAATCGTAGGCTATACGATATGATGATTGCTAGTTGAATTATTATTTTTTCAAATAATAAAAATAGATTATAATTATTAATCATCACATTATTTAATTTACTCTTCTTCGAATTTAGCCGTTTGGTAGTATGGACTTTGGAATTAAGATCACTTATTTTAAACTCTACGACCTCCATTAGCTCATTCAACTAATTCTCTTTACACAAACCAAAGATCATAATCTCTCTCTAGTACAGTCCAGGTTTCTCGATCCGTGAATACAAAACTACAAAATCTGGAAAAAATCTGAATTTATAAAAATAATCTCCATAGCATATTTCGACTTGTAAAATATATGTGGTAGGCAGGGGGAACTCTTTATCCCATGTCTATGTGGGGAACTCTTTATCCTATGTCTACGTCTATGTGGAGCATATAACACTAAATACGATTTGGTCCGAATATACGTGGGATTTTGTGGTCAATGACAGCTTCGATTTGGTCTCCATTAGGATATGCCATGTTGGATAGTCTAGCACGTGGAATTTGACGCTAGTTCTATTTTTTCTTAGTCTAATAGTTGTGTATGAGATAATATTTGAACTTAGAATCTTTTCTAAATAGAATAAAGAATCGGTTAAGCGTTCGTAGATAACTATTGTGTTCATTTGAGCGAAAGTTTAACCTAATTTTTTTCGCTTCACTGAATAATTTGTAAAACATAGAAAACCATGTAGCTTAAAGTGACACGATGTGCGTAACATGCGAGTAGACATCTTAAAATTGATTTTCTTTGTAATAAAAAGAAGAAAAAGAAACAAATGTACTTTGTATTTTCTCGTCATATTGTGGATGTAGACGATGCAAACTAATGCGAGAATCAAATTCATGATATAAATGTGATTTTGTAAGTAACGTGCTCTACAATTGATACTAGAATTTAACAAGAAGACTGTGATTACCTTATGCGGCAGAAGTACGTCTTATCTTCTTGATATTGAAAGAGCGCTCGAGTTCAAAGTCTTCACGTATAATAAAATACATAAAGTTAGGTTAACAATGTGAAACCTACCGTATACAACTATTTATAAAGGGTTTGAATTGAAAGCATATAGCTTTATTACACTGGGAATCCTTAAAGATTTAGTAAAATTTAATATCCGAAACAAATTAAAGTAGAGACTAATCCTAAAGATTTTAGGAATTTTTATTGCTAAAGGAACAATATTGGTCGTGGGAATACCTATCGAGAATATGATTTATTTATTTTTGGGTAAGTTTACGTAGCACCAACTTACTGTGCATTAAGTGGCGTAGATCCAATTTCTAAAGAAAATTTTCAACAACTGAAACAAGGGGTGAGACGCAATATATCATTATACAATTAAAAGAACACTTAAAAAAACTTCCCCTAATTATATAAAGACACGTGTCGTACCGTTTTCCGATCACACGGAAAAATCCTTTCAATTCCTAATGCTAGTCAAGAAATTAGGGTTTAGGACTTTTGGTTGTTATTTAGTTGTGAGAATTTAGATACGGATTACGGTCGATTTTAATTAATGTGTTATTTAGTTATTTATCTAATAGTGATGTAGACCTTTGCCTAAGACTGTCCAAAGTCAATTCAGTTGAACTTAACAGGATTGGTAAGCTAAGCTTATCCCTTATGGTTGATGTTTGGTGCCTAATTAACAATAATTATATATGAGAATACTGGTCCATGATGAAGACTTTATAAGGTAGTATGTGAATATCGCATTGCTTTGTGTGGAGCATACTATGAGTAAAGAGCTATATTGCTCAATGGTAGTAATCATAAAGGCTGTTATCGCACATGATCAGTTGATTTAGCGTAACTTGGTTTTTATTTAGTTAGAGATCTCTTGTCCATCTCACTAGAAAAATTTATATAGCACAGATCACCGTCACAGTAGTATCTCATGCTATGTAAATTGATTTCTCAACTCATGAGCAATTTGTTCTCTCTCACCTCACGAGAAGTAGTGATGCGGTGCAATTTTTTTTTTTAACAAACAATATTATTTATACTATAGGGAAGGGGGTCGGTTTAGCCTCATAATTGAACTAGCAATAATGTGGTTTAAATTTGTCTTTGACGAAAATCGAACATAAACAGTAAAGAGGAAAACAACTAAACTGTAATACTAAGTGATAGAAAATATTTTTAAATACCCTAATTATTAATTGAAATATAAATTGTAATCTTTGAGTATTAATTGCTAGTGGTGTTCAAGATTGAAGCTACCTAAACCTACCGATCCAATTCAATTTTCAATTTAACACTTAAATAAAATCTTCCATTGGTTTTGAAGATTTGGCAGAGTAAATTGGATCTCTTAAATTTAGAATCGGCATGACTGGATCAGATGACAGATTTGCTACGAGAATCTAAAAATATCTAATCCAATCTAATATAAATATTGTATTATGAACAAGTTCTTTAACCACGAGCTAGTGTTCAGTGGTAATTGACGGATTGCGAGATTTCTTTTAAACACGAAAAGTGTGGAAGCTAGACTTGTGAATAGGGGAAGGCTGAAATGCCTCTTTAAGTCTTCCCGACTTCCAAAAAAATGAATAACTGTTGCTTATCATAAATTGTCCTCTTTAAAAAAAAAAAAATGTTAAGTTCTTTGATGAAACGTGAACATGCGATTTAGTATACACTGTATCAGATGCGCATTGTCTAAATATTATTGGTTTCGAACCGAAGATCACCCCTTTGGCGAATTTGTAATCATTTCCTATGCAATGATCACTCTAATTATTTTTCATTTTTTTTTTAACACGTCACTCTATTTCACCTTGCATGAAATATTCAAAACCCTAACGCAAGGAACTTAGATTATGAGAATGATTAAGGACATTCTTCACTCGCAAATTAAGAAATCGTTCCAACTAATCATACCCATCATCAATTATAGTTATAGATGATAGATTTAGAATTCGAACATTTGGGGTCCCAGTGGTAAATGTTTAAGTTTTTTAATAGAAACTGAGTGCGAAGACTAGCGTAAAAGTATTTGAATTTATTCACTGATGCATTTCGTTGAAAATTTGGTGGACTTGTTATCATTCGAAGGGTTCTCCAAAGATTTTCATATGTATATTTAACCGAATTCCAAATGATCCTAAGACTACCTTGATTTCAATGTACATTCGCCGTTGTCTTGTGTCCCATACATATAGAGTATGATGCATAACTAATTAATATATAAACATTACATGTCGCTTGTTTCTTAAGCTTATCGAATCATACCACCAATCCACAGATAATATTTATAATTTTATAAAAATTATGTCGAAATCGTCCAGAGTCTGCTTTAAAATTTGTACCATGGTAGGTGGGAATTTTCAATTCCAGCTTATTTAAATCAGTTTCGGATATCCTAACTGATCAACTAACTTTCTTATTCTCTCATTAAAAAATAAATAATAGATAAAAAACTAGTTTATAAAAAGTCTTAACTTTGATTCACATGGATAGTAAAGACTATATACATTTATGATATGTTGGATGGGGTGTGATATCCACACACTATTTTTTATTTCTTCCACATCTTTTTAGTTTTCGGCCGTCGGATCAGATGAATTGAAGAAGATCAACAGACAAAAATTAATAAGAGGTGTGTGAGAAGTACAAAAAATATGTGGATAGCATACCCCATGTTTGATATCTATCGTGAAAAGTTATTTTCCTGATTGTGGTTTAGCTCCGTTGTGACACTAAGTCTTTGTATGTTTCATGTAATTTATCAAAATAAAAGGTACAAATATTGATGAAGTACTGGTAATGCTAGTTGTAAATTAAATAAAAAAAAATAGCTAATTGGGTTTTTGAAGGATCAACAAGGAATGATGGCTTAAGAACATATTAGCAATATATATGACACACCCCGACCTAGATTGAGGCATGCTAGCTATCATGCACCAGTTAAGGCACGGCCACATGCGCGACCACGCGCAGGCACGTGCCTGGCACACGTATGGAAACCCTAACGGCGTTAGAGTATATTCCATCCAATAATGGAATATATTGTTAAATATACCTGACGCCGTTAGTATATTCTATCAAAGTTGACGTAATATTCTTTGTCTTCTCCGATGATCCTCGCCAGAGCCGCCACCGGCCGCTATCTGCCGTCTAGATCACCGGAAACTGGAAAAACTTAGAACTTCAATATCTTCTTCATTTCTCAACCAAAATTCATGAAAATTGCACCAAAATGAAGCTTAGGACGAGAAGAACACAATCTTACCACTTTTAGGACCTAAAACCAACAGAATCTCATCGGGAAATTTCGTGAAAAGCAGCCAACCCTGCAACTCGATGAACTCGAGTGTCCCAACGTCCAAAACCTTCCAAAATTCTTCCCTAAGCTTCGTGAAGAAGTTCTAAGGCTCTCTAACACCACCAAACTCGACAAAACCTCCTCGATCACGATGGATGAACAGTGCACCTCATCTGGGTTTCCTGGTTCTCGAGCTTTCGAAGTTCTCACGTCCAACCAAAGGTATGGTTCGACTCCTGAGCTTGCAAGGAGTCTAAAAACAACATCCACAAGCTTGATCCGTGAATGATGAAGTTGGTTGAGAGGTTGTTCGTACAATTGTACGGAAATGGGAAGAAATCCAAGAGGGAAGAAGAGAGAGAGAGGGTCAACGGGTTGATGTGTGTGTATGAGTGTGTGGTCCAAGTTGCAGCCAACCAAAAACAAGGAAAGTCTAAGTTCTAATTGGGTCCAAACCATTAGGACTTAACATATTTGGTCCACATCTAAAGCTTAAACTATACAACACCACACAACGCTCGAGGGCAAAATCATCATTCCAAGCTAGCAAAGATAAAATAGATTATATTTCGGGA